ACGGTTTTGATCGGTTTTGAACGGTTTTTGACCGGTTTTGACCAGTTTTGACCTTAAATGGTTTTTTTGTGTGAACCGAGCTGTTTTCATTACCGATACCGGTCCAACCGGTTCAACCGGCCGGTCCGGTTCAATTTTAAAAACCTTGGTTTCAACATTTGAACCGTATTTTTGAGATTTAATAGTTTATTTTTAAATCTTAATATTTAGATCATATTAATTAAAAATTTAGATTACATTAACTACTTAAATATTCATATTTGGCTTACATACTATTGACGCTTCTCCCAACCTTCAAGCTCGACCCATTCCCTTTCCCCTTTTTCTATAATTGCCTTGTTCAAAAAAAAATTTTGAGCATTCATCTAAAGCAAGCTGTATGGTGATTATTTGTAGGCCCATATCATTCGGAGCAAACCGTGTATTGACTGAGTCAACGGTTTTTTTTTTTTTTACAGGGACAATAGTTAGAGGTTAGAAGTTAGAAGTTAGAAGTTAGAAGTTAGGTTAGTATCTTATTCTTGGTAAGGTTCAACCACTGATCAGGGGTGCAATCCACCGACAACCCTGTTGAGCTACAGTCAACGGCTATATTGTACTCCTATATTCTGTGTATGCAATGACCATCATAATCCTATTGAAGAAAAATAAATCAATGTCTCTAACAATATTAGAAAGTAGCAAGGGATGTAATTAGGAAATTTGATTTCCAAGAAGTTCGAATTTTGTTATAATTTCAGATAAAATGTTTGTCTAATGGTTTATACTAATTTCATTGGACAAATTTTAATTTCTCCATTTTTCTCAAATAAAAAAAGTAAGTTATAATTCTACATAATTTATTTGTTAAATTTTGAAATCAAAAGAGTATGGACGAAAATACCTTTTGATAAATTTACTTTAAGATTTGATTTCATAGTATGATTGTGATAATTTTTGAAAAATATTTTTTTAATATAAAGTTAGTTTTTGCTAATTCAATGGAACTCAAATATACTACCCAAAAAAAAAATGGACCTCAAATATTGGTCTAATATTTTAATTTAATTGAACAAAAAAAGTTTTTTCCTTTTCCTTAAATCAGCCAACATAACAGGCTCTAATTCTGACTAACTTTTTGGTTACTTAAGTTAATTAAATTCTTTATAAATTAATTAAATGGTATTAGTTTTAAAAATTTTATTCCTAATAAGGGTTTTTTTTTTTTTTTTTTACTTTTGGTCTTCAATGGTTAATTTTAATTGTTCAAGTTTTAATAAAAAAAATCAAAAATCAAAATTTGCAATCATTTCTTTTAGTATAGTTGGATGATGGATACTATACAATAAAAGATAATCTTACTTTTTTCAAATTCTTCTTTATCCATCATAAAATTTAAAACTCAAACTTTTAATTATTGAGATGCTATCCAGTGAATATTATTTTGAGATTTCAAGTTTGATTTTATCATGTGTAGAGTTAATTTAATATTATACTGGTGTTTAATTTCATTTAACAATAATTGATTTACATTGTTGGCATATAATGTAATGGTAGCTACGTGAAAAACTCCTTTTTAGTATCACA